AGAGAGATCGGAACGGTTTTGAATGTGAAGAAAGCAACAACAATTAACGACGGTATGCACACCATTTCACCGCTTTGACGTCGCTGCTTGGCCCTGCGGGTGCGCAGCAGCACCCGGAGTCTTGACCACCTGCCTGTGGGACACTCTGCGGCATGGTGACGACGGTACGTGTTGGAGGGAATTACAGTCTAAGTGCTTGGCTGAGCAGAAGCGCCGATAATTTGTCGTTTCGACGATGTTTTCTCTGATCGAAGAGTGGATCTCGGGAAAGTTGGCGCTAGCAGAAGGGGCGGAGGAGGGCTGATGTGGGCGGTGCGACAGCGGGTTTAGTCTCTCACTTCCCGAAACATGTTTTTTTTTTTACTCGCCCAAATAAGGACCGGGGCTTAGGGGTTGTTGTCCCCTCCGACCCGGCCTTCAATCATACTATGAAATACCAGTAGCTGGAGGGTCCCCGAGTTTCATCATGGAGCCCCCTACCATAAGTAATATCTACCATCTGTGTAACACACAGCGTAAGGCAGACATATCCAACCATATCCGTAGACCCACGAACACCGACCGTGTCAGGATGGTTTGAGTTGGGCTGGATTGGGGTTGGACTGGGGTCTTGGGTTGAAGCTGAGCGAGATGGGTTGTTGTGGTCTGTTGTGGATGTGGTTCTTGTGGGGGCTGATGGGGTCGGGATTGGGCTACTCTGGAGTGGGTTGGATTGGGGTAGGGCGTGAGGTCGGGTTGGGTAGGTAGGGGTTGATTGGGTTGGGGTGGATTAAGCAGGGTGGGTGTGGTCGACCGGTCCCTCGGGTTGAGCTTCGGTCGGGTTGGGTTGGGTTGTGGGTCGGGCTGGGTAGGGTGGGGTGGGGTAGGGGTTTGGTCTGTCGGTTGGCCCGTCGGTTGTTCGGGTTGTGTTTTGGGGTCGGGTTGGGTTGGGTTGGGGGTAGGGTAGGTTAAGTCGGTCGGTCGGGATGGGTTGGGTTGGGTTGGGTAGGGGACGGTTGGGTCGGTCCGTCGGTTGTCGGTCGGTCGGTTGGCCGGTCAATCGGGCGCCCTTGGGCAACGCCGCCGTCGCCTCGTGCTTCGCCGCCGTTGGGATTGGGTTTGGTTGTGCTGTTGGGTCGGTCATTCGGCCGGTCGGTCGATCGAGCGGCCTGGATTTCTTCGTGGTCGCTCGGCTCCTGCGCCTCACCTCTATGTACATGTTTGTGGCGGAGTGTTATTGCGTGTTGGTGTGTGGTTCTTTCTTTGGGAGGTCTTGATTGGGCCGTGTTGGTTGAAAGTGGTCTATGTTTGCATGTTCCAGTATTATAGGCTCACTTGGGATCAGGCGGGGTTTGGGGGTTGTTTTTTTGTTTTGGTGTTGGTTCGTCTTCACCCGACCATGTCTGGTTGGGTTTGGGTTGGGTCGCCGCCGTCGATCGCGCTGCCGTCGATTGCCCCTCCGTCCCTTCGCCGTTCGTCGCCGTTGGGTAGGGTTGGGTAGGGTTAGGGTAGGGTTAGGGTAGGGTTAGGATAGGGTTGGGCCGGTCGGTCGGTTGGTCGATCGGGCGGGCTTGGGTAAGGCTTCGTCGATCGTGCCGCCGTCGCCCCATCCATCGTCGCCGTCAATCGCCCTTGTTTGCGAGCAATACCACGTCACAACACCACATGGTAGAAAGACCGTCGTCCAGAGGCGGTTGGGAGTGATGGCGAATTCCCAACTCCCCGTATTATGGGAAGCTTCGCAAACGCGGCAGGCTGCACTACAGTGGTGACGAAATCTCGCAGAATTCAGCAAGCTCTACAATTCAACTACTCCACGTCGAGTTCTACTTCACGCACTCTACGCCAAGTTCTACTTTCAACCGACAATTTTGGTGGTACAGCACGGACGATTCGCATGGCGTGCCTCCATCCAGCATCACTCCGGTAGTTTTTAGTCATGCCTATCGTGACTACCCTGCGTCCCCAAAAACAACGCAGACCACACAACAAACATACATACGCCAATGACTATTTTTCAGACAACTTCCGGCTGGAAATACCCGAGTCAGCTTTTCAAGGTGTCTGCATTCGGGCGAATGGACTCAAGATGCAGGAGATTCGTGAAACAGGCCTACCGTCGGAGTCTGTTGGCAATGGTATTTACTCCACCAGTGGACTGGAGTAACCTCTTATTAGCTCGACCAGGCAGATCTCCACCCATAGAGCTCCAATCGACCTCAAACCAATTGCATCCTGTAGGTATAGACTACAGCTGCAATGCTGGAAGCTAAATCTGACCGGCGGATGGATGGATATACTGAAAAAGTGAGTTCCGCAGCAAGTTAGGAACTGTAATCGTCCCGAACCTCCGTCCACACAGCTCCAACTGGCCTCAAATATTTTTCATCGTGTTGGCACGGTCCATGCCGTCCTTCCAAGCTATTGTACACTCCCATCTGATATGTTTCCGCAGAGATAAGGTCAACAGAGAGGATTCCGCAGCATCTAGGGGGGGGTGAATGTCAATTGTCCCGCTATACCTCCCGTCGCATGGCTGACCCGCGCCTATGTCTGCCCGCACCGTGTTGGCACGGCTCATCGCTATCATTCAAGCCGTCGTGCACCACCCCAATCGGACCAATGGATGCAGAGAAACGCCCACCCACCGGGGCTCAGTGGCTAAACGGCCGGTAGAGCAGATAAGCTAAAGTGCTCCACCAGGCCAAACTCTACCCACCCCGCGTCGTTTGTCTTGCGAAGACTTGCATTGTGTCGACACGGCTCGCAGCTATCATTCAAGCCATCGGACACCCTGATCGGGCCAGTGGGTGCAGAGAATCGCCCACCCATAGGGGCTCATTGGGGTGAAGCAGATAATATGCAACTGCTCCATCAGCCCAAACTCTTCTACAGGGCGCTGTTTGTCATGCGAAGACTTGCGGCAGGAGAGGGGCACCCCCTGGGTACGGGTAATTTTTTCTCAAACGGGCACCCCCCGCGCTAACGGACACTCCCCGGCACACCCTGCGACTAACGGGCACCCCCCCCCGCCCTGGCGGTTTAGGGCACTCCCCCTCAACTAACAGCACTTCCGGCACCTCACCTCCATTGTGTGCACTCCTCTCGCTTACGGGCGCCTCTTGGTGCCGTGTTTGGACGATGCAGGGCTCTAGGGAATGATGTAGTATACACTGTATTCCTGGACAGGTACAATGTATTCCCTGATCACATAGACTACACTGTATTTGTTGATCAGAAACGCTAAATACTGTAGTCCCTGAGCAGATTCACAGTATTCCCTCATTAGACACACCGTGTTCCCTTGTTCGTTTCACTGTAGTCCCTCTTCAAGTACACTGTACTCCCTGGTCAGGATCACTGTATGCCCTTATCAGATACACCGTATTCGTCGCACTTTTCACTGTATTCCCTGGTTCGTTTCACTCTATTCCCTCATCAAATATGCTGTACTCCTGGTCAAGATCACTGTACTCCCATATCACATACACCCTAGTACTTTTCACTGCATGGTCTCTTCAGATTCGCTGAAATCCGTGGAATGCAGTGAATCTGACGAGGGGATACAGTGTATTTGATGAGGGAATACAGTGAATCGGACGAGGGAATGCAGTGTATCTGCGCAAGGAATACAGCGTATCTGATCAGGTAATGGAGTGTATCTCGCGAGAGAATACAATACAGTGTATCATCTGATGAGGGAATACAGCGTATCTACTCAGGGGATAGAGTGAATCTAATCAGGGTATACAGTGAATCTGACGAGGGAATTATACTCAAAGGCCGGTGGAGCAGATAAACGTATCTGCTCCACCGGCCTTTGAGCCATGCGTCCCCGTGGATCAGCGTTTCTTTGCACCCACTACCGTAATAGTCGGAGAGATGGCACCGGTTGGAGAGATGGCACTGGGCGGGGAGATGGCACCGGCGTGCGCAAAAATATGCAAGAACGGCATGATTTCGTTCGATTTACGCACGGGGACACGACAGTTATCGGTGAGACTGCAGTGGTCGGGGACGGCGCTTGTCTTCTGCAGGGCGTGACTTCGGGCTACGGGAAACCAGACTGGGAACAGGCGGCAAGGAATGCAACATTGCTGTGGGTTCTTCTATCCTTGGGAACATTCCCTTGGGGGAGGTGAGCAGCAAGCGCAGGAAGACAAGAGTCGCAGCCGAGATATTTTGTCCAGAGATGTGGCTTTTTCGAGTTGGATCCAAGCCATTCCTTCCCTGCTAGTCTTCATATCGGGTACGGGATGCGCTTGACACTCGTTGCTTACATTTTGTTTCAAGCCTGCGCCCGACTCGCCAAATACGGCCTCCTTCCTCATCTCTTACCATCTTCCTCGGCCGAGCTGGCTTCGCCATGGAATGATAACACATATCCAATACCTTGCTCGGCAACAATTATCAGCCGTCCCCGAAGAGTCCTCTGGTATAGTATTGGCGGGCGTTTAGACTCTGGTGTGGTAGCGCGAAAGTCTGAGACGGTCTGCGTGAAAGCAACATCGTTTGACCGAGGTAGTGTCTCGCTTCTAGTGAAATCACAACTTGGATTTTGGTCGAGAGGGCCGACATACGACCTTGCCCCGTCAACGAAAAGGTGCTGCGCGTGATTCGGGACGCTCTACTTACAGGTAACCGGTGAAGCCACAGCAGCATCTCTTCGCTTCTTCTTACTTTCCGGCGATCTAAAGGCGCAACATCAGAAGACGTGACATGTTGTTCGCGTTCACAAAGTGGTCAAGAATGCTACCATATTCAGCCTAAGGTCCGTCGGTGGGTCTCTACCCGAGAGCGATTGAGCGGCGAGAGCGATTGAGGAGTGACTCGACAGAACGACGTGGCTAGTTCCGCGGCCGATAGTCGCGTGAGCTTCATGGTGGGGCCAGCTTGTACGCGGCCACCCCAACGTCCTTCAAAGCACAGCTAGTTGTTGGGTCTCCCACATCTTGCCCCTCACTCCGTTCCTCCGTTTCCTCTGTCGCGGTTGACAGGGCTCCCGTATCGAGGCCGCCTCCATGGTTGTGAAACCCATCAAGCCGTACACCATCAACAGCGGTGTGCGGTCGAAAACCGTCGCCTGGGTCGTTTGCGATCCGCATCAGGACGTAGGGGCTGGTGTGGAGGAAGGGGCAGCGGAGGAGAAAGGGGAGAGACGCACGCCTGCGGCGGAACCGCGGCGGTTGTTTTGCAACTACGGCTCGCTGTACGTGGGAGTGTGAAGGGAAGGACGGGGTGGTGTCAATAGAGTTTGGCTGGGATAGCCTGTAAAATCGTAGAAATTTGTCGAAAACCTTGGATGTCCTCCCCGAAACAAACAACTATAGACTAAAAGACACAACACATACTTCCAAGTTGTTTTTTTTCGTATTCGATTTGATGGTGAATTGTGTTCTATCGATCTCCAAAGCGTACGGTCCATTCTTGAGGTGGACTAGATAAACGCGCAAAATGGAAAACGTCTAGTCTCCCAGCATGCGCTGGCACCACAGGTACCGGGCCAATTCCTTTTCTCGTCAAAACTGTCGACTGTCTGTGCCTTCGGGTGTGTCCGTGAGATTGTGCACATAAAAGATTTCAAGGATCTCCAGCAGTGGTCCTAGGGGTAGCTCAACCCCCTCCGCTTGTTTGCCTTTGACCAGCTAAGCTACTGAATCCCCCGAAAACTCTTCGTACTCTTAAGATTTCTACTCGCACTCTCCATGGGCAGTGAAAAAGAGCATGAACAACTCGTTCCCGGCAAACCAGCCGCGCGTTCAAGGCAGCGACAACTTGTGGTACTTGCCTGCTCCCCCTGTCATGTGTGTGCGCGTTCAAGGCAGCGACAACTTGTGGCACTGTCCGGCTCCCCCTGTCATGTGTGTGCCCGTTCAAGGCAGCAACGACTTGTGGTACTGGCCTGCTCCCCCTTTCATGTGCGTGCGTGACCCTTACACTCCAGATGCACTGATTGACACATGTATGACACCCGTAAGCACGACGAAGATAACGAGGAGTAATAAACTTGACGCACAACACGACTACTACTCTTGAGGAAAAAACGGCCATGACCTTGATTTGATGTCACCGACAACAATAGATAGCACCCGAGCCAACGCCGATTCCGCCAACGCAGCCTATCCCCCCCCTCAACACACCACACACAGACATTCATAACCACCACCGTGCCCGAGACCACTCGCTCGAAAAACAACCACCACACCAATGTATTCGCTACCCACGGATACCGTTGATCCGTCATCGACGCCCTAGGAAGCTCAAAGGGTACGAAAAACGTAAAGGTAGGCACTGCTGCGTTCCAGCCGCCGTTCTCCCTGACTGAACAGCTCTCGTCTCCCGCGGTTTTCGGCGCGAGATATACACCCGAGGCGAACACCAACAATCACTGCAGAGGCAAACACCACGCTAACGCCGAGGAACACATCATCGATGATCCCATCCACCGACCCTATCACCGAAGAACGCCGCCTTGCAAAGGCAACGAGAAAGAGAAGCTCAACCGCAGCGCGCTCTCTGAATAACGGCAATTCATCTTCGTCGCAGCTCAAAGTTCAAGCAGCGGGACGAACTATTGCACCCTTGGGCAAGGCTAGCGACTGAGACCATCGGATACCACCGTCTTGGGCAATTAGACTGTCTCAACAGCCCCCACCTGAGGCTTGCTAACACACCAAGAAAACATGTGAGACGCAAAACACATCTAGGTACAGCGACGTTAGATATTCCCCCCCGAAGGCAAGCGCGTCGTGTATCCTTCAGACAAGATTCTTCTCTCTTTTTCGTTTACGACTATCTCAAGCACATACGACAATAATACCGTGCGGCTGTATTTACGCGCTGTCCCGCCGTCGCCATGTGCTGCCTGTCTTTCTCGCTTTTCTCGCCCACAAAACGCCCGTAGAGACACAACGATTACATAATCTCCACCGCGGAACCCGCAAATATTCTAACCAGAAAAAAGGAACCGCAGCGGAAACAAGCACCCCAAATTCAGACCCGTGCATCCCACACTGCCCGCTTCCCCCCCCTCCCGCCCGCGCCCGCCACGTACGACAAAAAAGGGCTACTCGCCGACCCGCCGGGGGTTGCCATGAAACAACCGCATCGTTGGGCAGAGCGCAATAGCAAAGTGCGACTTTTTTTGCTCGGGGGCGGCGTGGCGTAGGCTCCCAAGCACGTGAGCACTTCGGGCATTGAGCTCGGTGTTTCGGTGCTACTGTTCCCCTGAGGAACAACTAGCGTCTTGACGTCACGCATACCTCGTAGGTACTCCCGGCCTTAGACACCGGTCGGCTCAATCAACGACGCCGGTTGAATAGCGCCGGTGGCTGTAGACCCCGGGTCCTTCGGAATAGCGCTGGACGACTCGCCGGGCATTTCATTGAGGGCCCCCCACTGTAGGACAAAAGTGACGTGGCACCTAGCCAAGGCGTCAACCGGGCATTGCCTCAAGCGTCAACGGCCTGCTGGTGCTGAATGGTCAGCGGCAGGTTCAAGATGGCCTCTTCGTCGAAGGAGCGGCAGGCCCTTCGCTCCAGGTACATGCGCTTGGCCCAGTGGAACAGCAGCAGGTCGAACACGTTCGCGCTCAACGTCTCCGACCAAACCCCCGACGGCAGTGCTTCCTTCGCGGAGATGGACTTCTTTACCTCCCGCTTCGCCTGGTTCTCGTGCGGTAGCACCTTGCGGTCACGGCAAAGGGAGATATATACAAGTTCAATCGGTCGAACCGAATCGCGGCTTCGAGGGGGGGGGGATTCACACCGGCGCTCCCCTCTCATATGTGGAGAAATGGGGTAGTCGTGTGCGGTGCTGGCGGCGTCATGTATGTACCGCTTGAGAGCCACGACGATACTACCTGCCGCCACCTATCGTCCTCGAACTCGCCGCGTCATGTTTGACACACGCACTCACCTGTTTCCGTGCCTGGGTCCAGCCCAACGCTTCCTCCAACGCCCACATCTCATCATCGACAAACTCCAGGATCAAGATGAGGTTGAACCTTCGAAGAATCTCCATCGCCATCTTGAGGTCCTTCCAGGTGACCTGTGCTCGCATCCCGACAAAGGGAAAAGCAAAGGGCAAGAAACACAAACAAGAAGAAGTGACAACAAGTAAGGGAACGAGCAGCAGCGAGCCAAATACTCCGCATGAACAAGTGTGGAAAAAACCAAGGGCAGCACGGTGGCGAAAGCGCTTGGCAGGTCATACTTCTTGGTCGCGTCAGGATGGATAGCGCGCCAACCACCGGAGCGGGAGGGTCCCTCGTGCTACCGGTATGCCTGTTGCCTTTCAAGAGAGCTTTGCCCGCTTTGATGGGAAAGCTACGAGTTCAGTCTGAAAAACGATGCGCACAAACAGGTTGGAGGGTCACGGCCGGACAGGGGTCGACCGTATTTTGGCTCCAAGAAAAGATAAGGGACAACCAGTGATGCCCCGCACAAGTGTTTCGCGCCCTCACCTTATCTTCCCAGTGGTCAAACTTGCGGTAGCTCCACGGTAAATCATTCGTGTGCTTCGGGCTCCCCTTCGCGTTCAAGTCCTGGGTAGATGAAGCCGATATAAGCGCGAGAGAGCAGTGCGGGGTACGAGGCAACAAGGCCACAAAACAGCACGGTGCGTCAACAGTCAGCAGCAGTCACGAGAGCACAAAAACTCTACAACGTTCGCCAAAAACAACGACCGCTCTACCATCCAGGGTCAAAGAAAATGCCGCCAAGAGGAATAAGAGAGCTTGTGGGTGTCCGGGAGTAGCTCCTGCCCCGGCGCACCCGTCCTCCGGGCAAAAAATGGCTGTCATGTTCTGATACGCCTTGCTACCGCCGGTTTGCGCAAAGAATGTCCTTCTTGTGACACCGACCACCAAAACACAGATACATTTTAGGGGAACAACAATCCGGCCGCTGTTGTGCTAACTTCAAGTCAGCAGGCAATATTGTCGAACAAAATAAAGGTAGGGAGACTAGGAAGCCACAGTAACGCCGTCTGCCGCAGGTCCCCGGCAAAGGGATCACCTGCATGAGCTTCTCAACGGGCGGGTTGGGCTTGCCGCAGAAAGTCTTGACGTAGTAGTTGTCCCCCATATCGTAAGGCTTGATCCGTTTGTACCACCTGCCACGCCAATAGCAGTTATTGGTCTTGTTGTCGTGCATCGTTCTCCAGTTTTTACACCGGAATCTACTGGGCATTACTCCCGAATATTAACCCCCTGGTCACAAAAAGCTTTAACCTGTTACATCTTTTACAAGGAAGATGTACTGAGAACTCGGATCACCGCCGATGCAATGAATGTAATGTAACTGTTGCATACAAGGAACGCCAGGAAGCCACGAGATTACATATGTGCAGAGAATTTCGGTGAACACGGAAACGTTCATCTGAGTTGGAGCTAGCTCTCCACTTGCGTACATGTACAACCTGTTACGGTCCGACCACTCCCAAACAACTATCAAGACATGAAACACTGCCACGCCTGTCACGCTGCCGTGGACAGACAACAGTTTATACTCTCCAGCATACCAACGTTTCTGATCGCCATGTCTGGCTCCAACCACAGCAGACGATCTGACGTACTATCTCCGAGTGCCATCACGCATACACGTTCACTTACACACACACCGAAAGTAAAAGTTATCCTACTGTATTGTCAAATTTTCAGTATCCTTCCCTATCGGGCGCGCTGCTTACACGTGGAACGGCATGCTCTCCTTCTCCGGGTCGGAACCGTCCCGGTGCTCCACGTGCCCGAACCGGTACTGGCTGTACCATCGATCCACCGGATGCCTGGACGAGATTCGCGCGGACGTTTTCATGGCCGTTGCAGCAACGTTTCAGCACATGAGGGTGTGTGCGTCGGCCATGGCGGCAAACGCTGCCTATTTCAGCATGTGAGGGTGCTTGCGTGCTAAACCTGAGGCACAGCAGCTGCGGTTGCACACCGCGGGCGACGCTTCTTCTCACGAGTGGTGCGGTGCAGGCGGGCGAATCAAGCGAATGTTCCTCAAGAACAACTGCTGCTATCGGCTAGTGCACGAAATAAGCATGCATGAAAGAAGCATGTTCTAATTTTATTCTTCGTCGTGCCACTCGGCATCTCCCACTCGCAAGTTATTTATACTGCCCCTAAGGGTCTGAGAAAAACACGCACCACACCATGTCGTGCGTTGATGGCTCTACAGCACACCTGGTTCAGAGATACGGACGTTACCTCCAGTACTCTCTA